AATTATCCGCCAAGATACATATGAATATGCACTTGATATTATAAGAATAATTAGACATGCAGATTTTAATTCTATGTCCTAGGAGTGTTATTCCTTGTTTTATTATATTTAGTTTTTTTTTTAATCGGATATCGGTCGGTGGCTCAATGTGCCCTTCCTACATAATTGCGATCCGACAGACAAAAATCCAAGTTAACGCCGCGCCTAACAGACCGTGACCACAGTGCAACCCGCCGCAAATGTTGCTTGTTTCAAAACGAAGTTACCCAAATATATTCGCTTTATGTTCAAATTATGTTCTATCTATCTCTCATCACGCCGAGTTTCGGTCGGGGTAGGCAGGGAGAATTGAGCGCCATAAGACACGGTCCATACACATGTCTTACGCTTTATACACATTCTTAACTCTTTACAAACAAGACCGCCCCTTTTTGCTGCTTCTGACGTAACTTATCTTCAAAATGCGACCAATTTGATCATGATAGGCGAGTCTTGGCGTACCTCGGCTTCTACATCCTTCCAATATCGCAACGTATAATTATCTGGTTTGTCATGCTTTCATCATTCTTTTATTAGATATTCTTTCCACATGTCCGAACCAACAGAGCATGTTTCTGTCAATATTAAGCGTAGAGTGCTCTCATATATATATATATACACAGTTTCAGATACAATAGCACAATGAGAATCGCGGAGTCTAAAAGTTATGCCTAAACAATATAAGAGACTTACACGTAGTCTCTAGGTGTTGGTGTTCAGCTCAAATACCAGCATCGGATCCTTGGGATCCTCTCACCATAGGATGAGCTGGTATCGTTGCCGGAACTTCATTCGGATGACGGCTACAACGACGACCGCGTGTCGATGGAAGCTCAACAAGACATCAGACACAGCGTCATGTAGCTCCGGTTCTGCTTGCAAGCATTGGTTCAGGGACATCACAGTCGTCGTAGGTGCTGAGCCATCAAAGACAACACACATCTTCCCATTGGAAGACTTTAAAACCGCATGATGAGAGAGAAAGTAATGTTTCTCATTTCTGCATTCCAACCGCGGAGACAACATGTACTCCGTTCCTCATACTCCCGCATAAAGTCAACCTACTTCTGTTTTAGACGGGTTCCTTGGTCATCAGATGTTCCATTGACAACATACTCTTTTGGGTCAGCAACCGAGTGCATACCAGTGTTATTCTGATAGAACAATTCACACTCCCCTTCCAAAAGATAAACTCACGTCACGGTAGGAGGCTCCTCCACCTCCCTAAACTTTTGGAGGATATCTTAAAAAGTCGAACCAACAGTGATGTCACTGTCTACCCGTGGAGAGGAGAGAATAGGTCCCAGTGACGTAGATATGGCTTTCCGGCCATCTGACTGCAAATCTCTCTTACTTTCATGCAACAAATGACCAATGACATCATGTACAAACAATAAATGGATTGGGCTCGGTCGGTGGAACGAGGAGTCAGCCAACGCCAATCCAGAAGTCAAGTCAACGGTCACTCGCGGAGCACAAACTTGTGGAAGTGAGCCGATCACCTTTTTAAAAACAATCACCGAAGTACCAATCTTCGGCGTAGAAAAAGAGAGGAGGGAGAAAGAGAACAAAACCCGACCAATCTGAGATCCACAGGTCTCCAACGCCCTGCACTGCTTCGTTATTATTTAATAAGCACTGCGGCGCAAGCACTAGGGCTAAGTGCCAATTTGAAATAATGCAACCCCGTGCCCCCGAATCCAAAAGTGCTTCGAGTCCATGCACGCACGGCACAGCTGTAGGTTAGAGCACCGGTTTAGGGTTGCTTCTGACAGGTGTGCTAATGAAAATCCTCCTCCTGAGGAGACCTCCCTCACAAGCCCATCTCCGGTGTCGATTGGGTCGATCTGGGAGGGGGGCGCTCATAACGAGTGATCGGGTCCCACTCGGACACATATTCACCCCGGCCACAGATTTCCTGGGCTGCAACGTAATATCCCTGCGGCATGTAGCTGCGGGATCCATAACTCAAACGGGGTCTCTCCATCAGGGGGAGAGAAGACACGTGACAATTCAAGTGACATTCACACGGATCCGTTCCAAACCTACGCTCTAATGATCTTTACAGCGCCACCGGGTTTGGGTCTGAGTGCGATGCGTTCGGGAACGTTGAACGTGCGTAAAGACTTAATTATACATTACAAACGTGGTCTATGTTTAATTTTACGTTTAGAGAATCATGCCAGATACAGGCTTAATATATACTTAAAATTTGTATCCTTACATTGCTTATTAACTAATTTAAATTCTACCACCTTTGCTTTGCTTCGGTTTTTGTTCTAGGATTTATTTGACTTGGAAGTTTTTTATATAATATCGGTAATACATTTTGTTAAAAACCTTCCGCGCTCTATATGTAAACTACTGTTAAGTAAAATATATTATTAACAATATAATATTACTAAGAGCGAAAGCTTATAATAATTTAAGTTTACTATAAACAAATATTCCATTTATAGAAAACACATAATTACAAAATTGTATAAATAATATAATATGATGATCATAATAATATTCACATTCAGCGATCTGTTCCAATTCATGTAAATTCAATTATAATATAATACGGCACATATTTTAATTCACTAAAAATTTTATGCCGAAATAAACTATTTACCGATTTCTATAATACATAAAAAGGTTTTAAACTACAGATTAATAATAGATATTTTATATGCTACTACTTACTACTACTATAGTAGTAACGTCGGGTATGCAGTTTAATGTCATGTTATTAAAGAAGGTAAGGCGTCCTCAAATGTGATGTAATCACATCAATTAATTTAACACAGGAAAGAAACTCATCCCGGTAATTTGTACGGGAAACCAAATAAATAATAAATACCTAATGATTACTTTTATTTTAATAAATTAATCGTCAAAAAATTTAAAACCTGACCCTCCAGATTTTAGTAAGTAAAAGTTTACCATCCCTGCTCTAGACTTACGTGACATTCGTGGCATTTAGGACACCCGGTACCTTCTGGGCACACCACCATTTGCCTAATTCGAAGACAGGCTCGAATTCGTCTCGGTAACGTTTAAATGGCGAAGGTTAGCATTGTCATTGGTGCGGTATATCATCGGCGCGCACATTCAAAGGGCTCGAGAGTACTTGATTTATGAGCCGGAGGCGCATGTATGCGAGTATTAAAAATTTCATAAAAATGTTCTTTATGAATCGTGCTCATTGTGCTGGCTCGTGAATCGCAAATTAATATCTCGTCTACACCTTTGTTAAAGTTTATATCAGGTATGTTGAAGTTTGTATAGACACCGATCGCAATTATATTATTATCTACGTTCAGTTCCGCTATTACCATACACTACGCTATTGAATGGAATTTTTAAAGGGTTTTTATCCACGTTTATTGTGTTAATAAATAATATGATTGGATTCTTACTTTCCAATTAATACTATCGGTTTTATTTTTGTTTAGATATTCTGTTTGGTCAGTTTTTTTTATATAGGTCTCCAAATTGGAACTGATGGTAGTTCGTACTTAATTTGATACTTACCTGAAAGATAAAACTGTCGTACAAAGTTGTACTGCAATAAAATGTATCGTGAATATATCCGGGGCCGACAAAAAAGTTTAAAATGGGAATTTGGCTAGAAAAAATTCCGCGCAGACCAGTCAAGAGGCGGGACTCGAAACCCCGACTTTCACTATCTGGGTGAATGCACCAGGCGAATGAATAAACCACTGCTACCGCGGCCCTGATGGCCGTGTCGAATTTTCTTTAATAATTCTTAAGCTGCAAGAAAGCGGCATCCCTACGCATTGTAGGTAACCCACAGTGTCAAATGAATACTTTTGCAAGTATTTAACATTTGAAAAAAGAAATAGCAATTAAAGTTATATTTTTATTCTTTAGATTTAAACATCTAGCAGTTGAATGCTCAAAAAATAAATTTATTACATTGGATATATCCTGTCGATGGTCCTGAAAAGGTCAGACTTTTCAGTATTTCAATTATTTATAAGAATACCTACCATATAAAATAAAGACAGAATTTAACAAAAATCATGTTTTACTTGAAATAATGATAATACTCTTTAATGTATAACACCTTAAAGGAAACAAAAGTAAGATTACACTGACAGAGAGACATTACACAATGGGTGGCTTTATTGCGAAATAGCAATCTTTTCCAGGCAACCCATGATGGAAAATGAAATCAGTATATAAGAAAAATATAAAATTACATGATACATTATTACAAATACTTTTACTTTTTTTTTAAAAACTACTCGGTTCCTGGTTATAAATATGTTCGTTAAAGGAGATTGCTCAGCTTCCATACATGTTTGGCCTAAAGACCAATAATCATGAAAAATTGTTTCCTAGATTCGAAATTATATATAAATTACTGTAGAAACGAATATTATTGACGGACACCCCTGAGAACTTCTATAAACCATATACACTGAACATATTAAAATAATAAAAAAGAAATAAGTTATATAGTAAACTAGGGAATTCAAGCCAAGTACCGAAATTATGGATTAGATTCAGGTATATAGAGCATGTAAATTAACAGATAGTTGCCTGTTTTTAAAGTTAATGCATAAGAGTAACTTTTAAAATCAGGTGTTATTTCCGGTTATAATAAGGTACTCTGTGACAGAAACTGTGTGATGATTGTGAATGAGCCACAGATTAGAGAGAATTTTTAAACTCTCGTTAACCAAAGAAAGCTAAGAGATTTAGGTTATATAGCCATATTATATTCAGTAGCTTCATTATTTTTGTTATGTTTTTAAGATAACTATATTTTAGATTTTTAGTGTATCACACCTTGTAATTTTATTTATTTATAGTTAGGCAACGTAGGCCCATAGATAGATACCTTAAAGTCTAACATAAATACAGATTATAATGTGTTTATGGAGGTGTTTGGCGAAAAATGTATGGCAATAGACTTTATGATGTCACCTACCATCTATAATAATTGTGGTTGCGCCAGTATGGCATTTTGAATTGACCGCGTAAAATTCGTATAATCGCCCATCGCCTTATTTTAAATTTAATAGTTAAATTGGCACTTTACTCATTTCCTTTTCCCATCTCCCTCCTGCACATACCTATCTCGCATGCAAGAGTGAGACGACGAATGTCCACTGGGGACATCTAGCGGGTGTTGTAGTTAACATGCTTCTTAGCAAATCCGCACCTTTTGTTAATGGCTGCCGTAAATCGCGCTCTTCGTAATTAATTCGTTTGATAAACAAAAACTATAGTTCGAGTGATTCTCATTGTGAAAATAGAAGTGCAAGACTAACCATTTGGTGTTACCCATAAGAATATCAACCGGCCACGAACCCAAGTTCGGTTTTGGATAGCTTGCTCGACGCGTCCACCTCAGGAGCTTCTGTACTGACCGTTGATGCAAGGTATTGTGCAACCTTCCTTATTGGTTTCGAACTATTTCCTTTTGTTTTAATCCACGCAGTTCGAAATCTCCTTTCTTTGATTATTGTGCCAATTTTAAATTTACAGTCCATTATAAAAAACAAATATTTAGCATCACCCGCGCAACCATTTTGGTCCTCATCGAACCGGGTTAGTTGAACTTATTAGTTTAATAGAATTTATTCCATTGGGAGTAAACGCACCGCATAGTTATAATTATCTAGCATTTTATTTGTTTATTTGTTCATACCGCTCCGCAACCACGCTAGGAATATAACTCGTAATAGAATTGAATAGGTAGGTAAGTACTTAATCGTTGCAGGTGCATAGGCACTGACGGCGTACAATACCTACTTACCGCTTAGTCTGTTATTGTGGTAGTTTGTTTGTTTACGCAGTCACTAACATAAAAGGAATAACTTTAGTACTTATTAAAATAAAAGTCGCAATTTGATTTGAGAAGGTAACTTTGTTCGTCTACCTACATTCATACGCGTCTGATCTCCGGCGCTATCATTTCACTTCAATATTTAGGTATATTTATTTAGTTTGTTGTTGTTTTTGCAATGCCTCCGAAAATGAATTCGGATGCGCAATTAAAATTGTTGCATGCAAAAAGGGACAACCTATTTGCACGTATGCAATTAATTTGTGGTAGCTCGTCGAAAATCGAAGATGAAACAATCAGAGAAATGTTTTTGTGTTCCATTGAAACCGTGGATAAATTACGCTTAGATTTCGAAAATGTACTCGATAGAATCAATACCCTAGAATTAGAATTAAATCCCGAGTTTTTGGTTAATTACGACGCCTTGTCGTCATTTGAAGATTTAGTTTGTCGTACAAAACGTGTCGCTAAATTGTTAGAAATTCCCGTCGAATCAAAACCTGCGCTGGATAGTGCATGGAGGCAAGATAGACCAAAATTACCGCCTATACAGATACCAGAATTTTATGGTGATATCAAAAACTGGCCTTTGTTTTATGCTTGTTTTGAGAATACGATTCATAGAAATAACGGATTATCGAATCACGAAAAATTACATTATTTAGTTGGTAAACTCACTGGTAAAGCAAAATCTGTTTGTGCTGGAATTACTTTAAGTGGAGAAAATTACAATTTGATTTTGAACTCTTTAAAAATAAAATACGAAAATAAACGTTTAGTTGCAACTACTTATTTAGACCAAATATTTAATTTGAAAAATATTTTAATCAATAATGAGCACGATTTAGAAAAGTTTTTAGACACATTTGTAACAGCAGTTCGCGCCTTAAAGAACCTTAAGTTCGATGACCTCAGCGATTTTTTGTTTTTATATATTGCATTAAGAAAGTTAGATTCGTCGTCCGTATCATATTGTTGTACGGCCGAACCGCTGGATGCTGTCGTTCGCAGATTCTGGGAGATAGAAGAAGTGAACGTACCTCCCGTCGTCAGCCCGGATGACAAAATTTGTGAGGAGTTTTACAGTGTCACAACTAATCGCGATAGTGATGGTCGCTATATTGTCGCTCTCCCCTTTAAGGGGGATGTTAATTTACTAGGAGATTCTCGTCAGGTAGCGGAAAAAAGGTTTCTTTGTTTGGAGAGAAAAATGCAGACGTCTCTAAAATTAAAACAGGCCTATGATGACATAATTAATGAGCATTTGGATAAAGGCTTTATTTCACCCGCTCCGAACGAAACTATGGAAACAAAACACACTCCTCTATATATTATACCTCACCATAGCATTGTTCGTGAGAATAAATTGACAACCAAATTGCGCGTAGTACTAGATGGTAGTGCTTAAACTAGTACTAACGTTTCATTAAACGATCTTTTGCATTGTGGTCAGAATCTCCAAGGTAATTTGTTTGAAATTTTAGTAAATTTTCGTTTGTTTGCTGTAGCTCTTTCTGCGGATATTAGGCAGATGTTTCTTTGCATTGGTGTTCGCAAATCTGATCGCAGGTTCCAACGTATTTTGTATCGATTTCGCCACAGGAGCCTTTGCAGGCTTATGAATTTAATCGCGTTTGTTTTGGGCTTAAATCAAGTCCCTTCCTCGCTCTTCGCACTATCAAGCAGCTCCTTGCCGATGAGGGAAATAATTACCCAAAGGCTAGAGACACTATTGAGTCTGGTTTATACATGGACGATTACTTGTGGACTCTGGAGAGCGAGGAAGAAGCTATCGCGATAGCAGGTGAAGTCATAGCGCTCATGAAAACCGGTCAATTTGATCTCGTTAAATGGATAAGCAACTCGCAAATGGTTTTAAACTCTATCCCATCATCGCATCGCTTGTCCACCGTCAAAGAATTCGATGAGAATGGTACACACAAGGTTCTTGGTTTGTGTTGGTCACTTTCGTCCGATTTGTTTAGTCTAAAAATTAGCTCTACTCAGTCAACTTGTACTAAACGAAACATATTGTCGTGTGTCGCGAGGATATGGGATATAATGGGATTTGTAGCACCTGTAGTTTTGTACGCGAAGCTCCTTATCAAGGATCTTTGGTTGTCTCACTGTGATTGGGATGATACACCTCCTGATAATGTCGTTAGATTGTGGAATAGCTTTAGAGCCGAGCTTCATATGCTCGAGCAAATAAAAATATCACGTCATGTTGGAATTACCAAAACTAGTATTGTGACAGTTGTTGGATTCGCAGATGCTAGTGAGAAAGCTTATGGGGGTGTTGTGTACTTCCATGTACAAAATGGTACTAACATCCAGGTGCACCTCATTAGTGCTAAATCGAGGGTAGCTCCTCAGAAAGTAATTTCTCTTGCGCGTCTTGAGCTATGCGCTATATTAGTGTTAGCCCAGCTCATTAGTTCAATCGTCAATTGTTGTCGTAACCGCATAAATATAGATAAAATTTTCGCATTTTCAGACTCAACTGTTGCTTTATGTTGGACTCATTCTTCTCCCCATCGTTGGGACACATTTGTAGCAAATAGAGTGTCAAAAATTCAGTTGGAGTTGCCACCGCAGAATTTTTTCCACGTGTCGGGCGCTGACAACCCCGCAGACTGTCTGTCCCGTGGGTTGACACCCGCACAAATTTTGGACCATCCACTCTGGTTCCATGGCTCTTCGTGGTGTCGTGCACCAATTCATGAATGGCCAGTTAGTTCCTTTGACCCAGCGACGGTTTCTACTCCTCCAGAGGAAAAGAAACACGTTTTATTAACAACCGCACCGAAAGAAAAGACACCTATTTTATTGTTAGCAAGCCGGGTCTCATCTTGGTCATTACTTTTGCGCAGCGTCGTTTTTGTTTGTCGTTTCGTAAAAATTCTTCCTCTGCAAGAGTACATTAGTTATAGCGATTTGAACAAAGCAGAACTGGTAGTACTTCGTGAAGTTCAACGGTATTACTTTACATCTGAATTTAAAAGTTTAGAATTGGATAAACCTTGTAGTCGTTCGTTTCAACATTTAAAACCATTTTTGGACAAAGATGGACTTATTCGTATTGGTGGTAGACTAAACCAATCTGAATTAAGTCACGATCAAAAACACCCTATAGTTCTCCCGCGCAAAGATCACGTCGGTAATCTTATAGTTGAATATTACCATAAAGTAAATTGTCACGCTGGTCCTGATTTGCTTATGTCGATCTTACGACAGAAATACTGGATTATTTCTGCACGCAATTTGATCCGCTCTATAGTTCATAGATGTATTCCTTGTTTCAAACTTCGTCCAAAGTCGATTGCACCCGAAATGGCCGACCATCGTTCTTGTCGTGTTGTTCAAACCGCTTAACCTTTCGTACATACCGGTACGGACTACGCAGGCCCTTTCAGAGTAACCATTTCTCGTGGTCGTGGCATACGCTCCACAAAATCTTATATTTGTCTGTATGACGACTCGTGCAGTACATATAGAATTAGCCAGTGATTTAAGCACTCCATGTTTTATGGCTGCATTCAAGCGATTTTTATCGCGCCGTGGTCCTGTAGCTCGAATGTACTCAGACAACGGTACAAATTATGTTGGAGCCCGTCGTAATATTTCAGAGTTGCATACTCTTTTAAATTCCAAACACTTTAATACCGAATTTGCACACATTTTAGCAGAGAATCGTATTGAATGGTCATTAAACACGCCAGCTGCAAGCCATTTTGGTGGTAATTGGGAAGCTAATATTAAAAGCTTAAAATCACATTTATTCCGCGTCATAGGTAGTCAAATTCTTTCCTTTGAGGAGCTTAGCACCGTGCTCACTCAAGTCGAGGCGGTAATGAATACCAGACCTCTGTGTAGGACATTGTCTAGCGATCCTTTGGAGCCTCTTGCATTAACTCCAGCTCATTTTTTGAATATGACACCTTTAAAATATTTCCCCGCTTTAGAAGTGGAAGAAGATCGGCTTCATCTTCTGTCGCGCCATTCCTTATTAGATGGATTAGTTCTGTCGTTTTGGAAGCGCTGGAGAACAGACTATTTGCTTACCCTACAGTCCCGGCAAAAATGGAATATTCCGTCAAACCCGATTACTCTCGGTACTGTTGTTATTCTTTTAACTGAGAACACGCCACCTTTGCATTGGCCCTTAGGGGTAGTGGAAGAAACTTTTCCAGGGTCTAATGGGGTGACTCGAATAGTACGTGTTAGAACTGCGACTGGGTCGTATTTACGTCCAGTTGTACGACTTTGCCCTTTGCCTAATCAACATTTGTAAAATAATAATAATAGTGATCGTAGATTCAGTAGGTTAGTTTTTAATAAATTTAGCTTCTCATTTTAGATATTTAGTTTATTTTGAAGGTAACCCTTCAAGCCGGGGGGAATGGTTGCGCCAGTATGGCATTTTGAATTGACCGCGTAAAATTCGTATAATCGCCCATCGCCTTATTTTAAATTTAATAGTTAAATTGGCACTTTACTCATTTCCTTTTCCCATCTCCCTCCTGCACATACCTATCTCGCATGCAAGAGTGAGACGACGAATGTCCACTGGGGACATCTAGCGGGTGTTGT